TGAGGCTGCGGCTTCCGGTCTTGCTGGCGTTGGTGTGGCTCTCAGTGAGAGAGGTGACGCCGTGCTGCTAGATTGGATCTCAGTCGGCAGTAGGTTGTGCGAAGTGAGACCCAGAGGTTTGTGCAAGACAAGCAGCCGTCACCACGATAGGCGAAACTTGTTGGTCGTTTTGGCGTACGCTCCAACGGACTGCAGCCCAGATGCAGTCAAAGATAAATTTTTCCACAATCTTGCGTAAAGCGACCCGGGTGATATCGTGATTTTAGCGGGAGATATGAATGCTAGAGTAGACCGGTTGACTTAGAGTGAGGCGCACCTCGGAGGTCCTCTCGTACTAGATTCCTGTCTCTCGATAAACTGAGAACGGTTGTTGGCTCTTTGTTCCGACCACCGCCTGTTCCTCGCCAGTACGAACTTCAGACTCTCCAACTGCCCGTACGTCACCTGGCGTCCGCCCTCCTCGAGTCAGCAACGCACGCAGATCGAAACCATCGTGATAAGCCACAAATTGCAAGGCCGCATTCAAGACTGCCGATCGTACTGGAGCACTCCCCTCGAATCCGACCACGCATTAGTATGCGCCAAGCTGTCCATGTGCTTCGGTGGACGTTCTAAACGCAAGACACAACAATGGTAAGACTGTGATAAGCTGTACAAACCAACTTGTCTAACTGTATCACAAAACGCGCTGGCTGAAAAGCTAGAATCAATCCTACCTGATGACGTCAACCAGAATTGGTCGTTTATCAAGAATGTTCTACATTCTGCTGGCTTAGTTAGTTGTGGTCTGACACGTCGCACCGTGATACCCTAGATTTCTACAAAGTCTCTACGCACGTCGGTCTATTCTGACCGGCAGCAAGCATAATGAAACACGACTCATAAAGAGACGTGAACTTAATGCAAACCTACGCAGAGACCGCGAGATCTGGTGGACTCAATGCGCGTCAGAGGTGGGACATGCTGCCGCCATGGGTAATTCCCGTAAGCTATTCCATCTCATCCGGGTCACCGGTAGGAAAGCCTTGGGTGTGAGCGGAACGATCTGCGAAGCTGACAGTTCGCCCACTTATAATCAACAGCGACGCCTTGCACGCTGGGCGGCGCACTTCAAAGCACAATTTAGCTAGTCACCAGCGTCAGCGGCTCACACAGCTATTCCGGCGCACATCCCATGGTCTGTCACAACAAACCTACCATCTGAAGAGGAAATCCGTAAGGAGATGTAATCCTTGGAACGTCACAAAGCGCCGGGCTCTAATGGCCTTCCCCTGCTCTATTTAAATACGACAGAGTAAGGCTTGTTAGAGAACTATAAGCTCTGTTCTATAAAGTTTCGAACATCTAGCAGGTTCCCTCNATTGTCGCCCCCATCTTCAAAAAGGGCTCACGCAATGACTGCGCCAATCATAGGGGTATAAGCCTAATCCCGATAGCGTCAAAGCTGTTGGAGCCCATCATTTTCCATCGATTGTACACTATGCGTGAGGAGCAGACCCATGAGAAGCAGGCTGGGTTTCGTGCCGGTCGTGAATGCATCGGTCAAATCTTCATCCTCCGACAGCTGCTAGAGCACTGTCATGCCTATCAAAGACCAACGATCATTGTATTCTTAGACATTTGACTCTGTCGATAGGACCGCACTATGGAACTGTTTGTTGAGGAATGGAGTATCTGAGAAGTAAGTGTTGATCCTCAAAGAGTTGTATCGTCATACCTCAGGTCGGGTTATGGCTTATGGCCGACTTCCGCCACCCTTCGCTGTCTCAAGTGGAGTTCGGCAAGGATACCCTATATCCCCAGTCCTGTTCAATTTTGTCAAAGAGGATATTCTACCAAATGCTTTGGCCGGTCTGGCAAACGGTGGAGTAGAATGCCTCCCAGGGAACAGAGTCCTGGACTTAGAATATGCCGGTGACATCGCCTTGCTCGGTGACAATACACAGGCAATCCAAAACATTTTGAACTGCTTGGCGATGGAGGTATCCAAGTATGGTATGTGATTTGCACCTTCTAAGTGCAAAGTGCTTGTTCACGACTGGCAGGAGCCTGTGCCTGCACTCACCCTCTGTGGTGATCAGCTGGAAGTAATTGATAGCTTTGAGTACCTCGGGAGCTTGATAGCAGCTTGTGGGCTGTTAGCGAGGAGTTCACATCACGAATAGCGAAAGCTAGAGCAGCTTCCGCCAACCTGCGACATCTGTGGCATCGCCATGACATCCGACTGTCCCTTAAGGGAATGTTGTACATCGCCGCGGTTTGTATCGTTCTCCTTTACGGTTGCGAGACCTGGTCCCTCCGCGTTGAGGATGCTAACCGACTTTCTGTATTCAACCACCGATGTCTCCGAAGCATTGCTCGTATCTTTTGGGAACACCGGGTGATTAATGACGAGGTTCGGCGTTGTGTGCTAGGTGCGGATAGTCGTTCTCTAACAGAAGTAATCGCTCTACACCGCCTCCGATATCTTGGTCACGTTTTGCGTATGCCTGCCCATCGACTATCTTTCCGTTCCCTCTTCGCACGTGCCGGGTAAGGCTGGAAGAAGCGGCGTGACGATCGACCATGACATGGCGTAGAGGTATGAAGAAGCTGGCTTCAGCTCTGGCTTCGGATGGAGCAGCCCGCCTTCCATGCTGGAGCCAAAAGGGATGAGGACCGTCGTTGATTGGAGACGCTTAGAGATATGGCCCAGAATGGAATTCAGTGGACCGAATGCTGCGCGGTTTGCCTGTAGAAATCCCGTGCCCCGTAAAGAAAAACAACAAATAACACAGAAAATATCCAAAAGTGTACGGTGAAACACAAAACATTTTTGTTATCTCATTTATTTACAATTTTCCTATGTTTAACTGTCTCTCCATCTTCCACTTTGTTTTGTCTTCTAATCCACCTGCCCCCCATTTTGTCATTGTTATTATTGTTGTGACGTTTGCACCATGCTTGTTTACAAGCCGGTGTTAAATGTATCCAAAAACTGCAAACAACCCAAGAACAACAAATTCACAGACCCTCCTGAATCGAAATAGCTCCACTTATTTTGTGTAGAACCGTTTGTGACTATTTGTTTGATTGAATCTATTTACTAGCATTAACTTTCCTTCATCGTCCTCTACCCATTAGGATACTTGAAGATTTTTATCGGCGTCACTTTCTAAGACTGCCCTCACAAGATCAAACCACGTGAAAAGGATTTGACTCCAAGCTCAAACTCTCTGTAAATCATCACGGGATAAACGGTTCAAGTATGAATTATAGAAACAGTACCAAACATCCTAAGAATATACGCACAACGATAAATGAATGTGAGAAGTGTAAAATCAGCTGTTTTTAATCCAATATACAGAATCATGAAATTAACTACTCNTCAATTCAAGTGAATTCGAATAGCCCGATCAGATAACTGTGAAATGTCGTCCAGTCAATCCGAGACAACAATGTACAAAAACTAGCGAAGAGAATATTTGAAAATGGAGTAACTAAACATAATAAAAAGAAATTCACGTAACAGTCTTTTGAAAATATGAAATGAAAATATCTTTTGGATAAATTTCGGTTGTATATGTACGTGCTTCCCAAAGCAGAACTGTCGCACATTTGGAACGTTATTGTTAACGAACTCACTTAACGTGCAGTCTGACCCGAAGTCAGATATTTGTCTGTCACGGCAGGCGATCCCAAAGACAGCTTATGGTCACATACATGTCACCTCATCTCTTTTCAAGCTCGCTCACTGAATGCCTTAAACATGACTTTACACTCTGAGGATGCGCCCTGTGATACATCGTTTTTCCTTATTGGGTCATCCGAATTCAAATTCATATCCTCATACGAGCAAACACAAACGAACTGGGACATCGCATAATGGGATCTAACTTGTGTAAGGACGTTCGGATCGATCATGACAGGGTTGCTGTCAACATGCGCGACTGAGGTTCACCTAATTCAAGCGGATAAAGTATTTGAATTTGAAGTCCGAACAACAGTGGATAACCAATATTGTGGTTTTCATTTATACTTGCAACCAGTTGCATGTAAATTGATTTTTATTTGCAGTGTCCCTCTATCTGTATTGGGAGGATGATCATGGATTTCTGTAAACTATCAACTGAAATGGAATTTGTATTATCAAGTGGTTTGTTTAGTCAATTGTTACCTGTACTGAATTCCTTCATGATGTGACGAAAGAAACAAGCAGAGACAAGTCTTACCTCAGCATCCGTGAGATTTACTTCTCCCGGTCTCGTCAACGGCTCAAGCATAGCGAATAATTCTTCGGGTAAACGACACAAACCCTGAATCAAATTGAGTGCGATCACGTGACCTAAATCCTGTTTTGTTAATAACGAATAGGCTGAACCCATTCGACTTCGTCTATCGGCAAGCATTTCACGATCTCCCGTCGTCATCAACTGGGCTCGTAGAACAGCAAGTGAGACGCAGATACTGGCCAGGGAGATAATTGAGTCCACTGTAATGCCACTGATCCATTTGTAATCCGCGTAACTCGCAGCCAAGCGTGTAGCGGACCCGTACTGATTCGTGGCCTCGTCCAAGAAACCATCAACAGAAGAGCGGTCTACACGAGTGGTAAACATGTGATGAAAACTGCCGGTCACTTCGCATCGTGCCAGGGGTCGTGGGGCGTGACCTTGATAGATGTGTGAACCTTGCCCAAGCACAGACGGTAAGTAGTATTGTACACGCCAATAAGCGGTTTCCAACAAACCAAAAGCCAAACTTGTAAGAATCAAAGCGACAGTCAAATGTACGGATTTTCTGTATCGTCCACGAGCGACAAAGTAGCGAATAGGTGAATAGAGCAACACTCTGGATTTTGGATAATTCATGCAGAGTGCTTCAATACCCAAAGCTAATGTGAGTAGTGCGCTGGCCAATTTGCTCGCCGTGGACAGGGTATGTGTCAAGGGGCAGAACAGTTGATTCCATGCTAACAATCCCGTGTCCCAAGCCGTATCCAGGTCGATCAAGATCACTAGAATTGCCCGGATCAATAGGACAATGGAGATACTCGTCAGATAGACGGATTGTGTTATGTTTATCCCGCTTGAAATGCCAAATCGATTTGTTGATGACGATGCGACTCTCTGGGAACACTTGCAACTGGAGAATGCGTAGACCACTGTGCACACAGTACACCCGATCAAAGCGAATGGTAGCCAGAGCGGACTCAGGTATCGATCCACAACGATAGTGTTCGATGAGAATCGATCGAGAAGCAGGTGCTGCATAGGATAACGAGCCAGCAAATCCAATGGGGCCAATCCATCCGGTTGTGTTATTCCAGGCACCAGAGTGGTTGTGGAAATGGTCGTTGTGACCTAAATGAAGCAATGAGGAAATTCAATGAGAACAGTTCGTTGATCCTCTTAAGCGATACAGGATGCATTCCCTGACTCTTCCAATGATGAAAAACGTGAAGTTCTTCATAGTTGCTTGTGGCGAAAATCGCAGTTAAAAACCTTGACAACATGAATGACAAATAACAGCAAACAGACAAGCTCGGTTGAAGATCATGCCCACTTTCTGAAACGCCAGCTTTGTTCCTCGCGTTATAGGGCAACAGGAACATACTATATTTATATCCTTTCATGGGCATGTGATTAAGCTTTAGTTATAATATCAATCAGTGGATGGGATCGCAATGTATTGTAATTGAATGTTGGTGCAAGTTGTTCGACAAGTTGAGAGAAAAACAGAAAAATAATTCAAAAGAGATATTTATCACTGCTTCACTGAAAAGGAAAGTTGGTAATTAGAAATCTTGAAACACGGCAGATCAGAAGGTTTTGCAGTTTCATTCACAAAGAACGCAGAAGCGTTTATCGGTCGATGAATTGTGCTTGACAGCCAGGTTTGCGTAACTTCTAATCTGGTGTGACTCACTCCATAAAAAAACCAACATCTGAGCAGAGCATAGTACCAGTAAGTTTTCTTGGTCTACACGAAAGGCTTCCTTCGTCTAGTCCTCCTTCCTCTGCTAGGGGCACTTGAGAGTTGGCTTTCTGCATCTTAAAGACAAATAACCTCATTAGTCCGTTTCTATGTCAGTTCCATCATGCACATCTTTGTGCTTCACACACGGAACACACCCTACCAAGCGTTTGTCTACAAAAGAATAGCTTAACTCTGTCCGACTGAAGTCCACCACGAAACAGTGCAACCTAAGAGCAGATCTTGTAAAGTTATCTAATCGTTAATGAGGAAATGAGTGGCCTAGAGTCGGTTTTGACGACTGTTAATAAAACGGCGGTGTTTCACACGAAAAGAATGACTTACACGAGAAGATGCTTCCATCTGTTTAATTCTAATTGAGAACCCGGAGATGTGCCGGCGCTGTAATCTTGCACTAGAGAAACCTATTTCCTGTTGTTTCCTGAAGATATCATGTATCATGTATTTGCACTCACAAACAAAAGGGGGGCTACAAGTGAGTTACACCTTAATCTTTAACCGTGGGTCTCCGTGAACATTATTTCGCATGACTATGGCTGTGGCGTACGTACTCCTTGTAACTGATATGTAAATTCAGTGCTTCGAACATAATAGAATAAATGGGTGTTGGCTAAGCGGTTTAAGTTACTGTCCCCCGATTACCTTGAACCCTTGGGTTTGAGGTTCAAGTCCGTCCGTCGCCACTCAACTTTGGTGGCAGGCAGCTTTGCTGTCGTCCGCTTTAATACCTTGCCTAACCTAGCGCGACCCTGATTTTGCATCACTCCAAGATCCGGGGCTTACTTTAATGTTTTCCATGTATGAACAACAGGTTCTGATGACCATAGGGTTTGTCCCATCTGTTTTTCATCACACGACAATATGTAAGAAAAGAAAAGAAAACAGTGACAACTAAAACACGATCAACTAAATGTGTTTGTCGTCATGACCACCGACAGTGTGTGCGTGTTGTGTAGTCACACTCTAGTCAGAACAATAATTTCATCTCGGTTCTCTTCATTCAAACGCCCATAGGAGATCTTCCAATTATGAGCATTCTAGTAAAAAAAATGAAATGAAGATGCCAACTGTTCACTGAGACAAAAAATGATATTAATCCCCACGTTATAGACGATAACGTAGTGGACGTGCAGCCATCGATTCTGACCGCTATTCGAATATTAAAGTTCCTAAGAACGGAATATAATTCGCCGAATCATCTTAAATAAAAATTCTGTTTCTCTTCAAATTCACTTCTAGTGAGTGAAATATTGTAAATGCGATAATCTGATACAGATAAAGCATTTCCGAAAATTGTCCTGTCTTGGAAAGTGGTAAAATGCAATCACAGCTCTATCATTTCAAACGTCGGTCGTGCCATAACTTAGACGCCTTCGAACGGCGCTCAAGGTGACTGCATACAAAATTTGATTCAATCCCTGTTGCCACTATGACCTGAATATCTAGTTCAATATTCATTCATTCCAACACGGCATACCCTTCCGACCCCCTCTCACCGCAATGCATTGTTTATTTGAACCCTAAATATTACATGTGTTTTTCTTTCTGATAGCATCATCGATTGCAAGCGGAATTTTGTTTGCATTGCGTAATTTACCTCTTCAACACCAATTCTCCACACTGACGCACCTTTAAGCCCTCTCACGCAGCCCGCTTTCAGAACGGCATTCTGTTGTTTTTTGTTCGTTCGCCAACCAGGCGGCTTCCGTGATTCTCTAAGGAAACCTTGGTAGCTAGCTAGCTTTGCTTATTCACATTACTTGCTGGAAGGAATAACCTGTAATAAACCTAACGAATATTTATCCTATTCTCCTACGTATGTGTAAGAGTCTGATGTCAACTAAAGAACGAAATTTTTCCCCAAGCCTTGTAGAGACTGAACAACATAGATGATAAATAAAATCTCTTTTTACGCGCCCCGCATGATTATAGCTGTACGAATAGCATTTGTGTGAATTATTTGAGAAAAGTCCCAATCATTGAGATGTCTATGAGTTTATCAGAAAGGCACACATTGTGAATCGTTAAAAATACAAAAATGTGATTGGCAAAAATGGCCGAATCTAATTAGAGGAATTGTACATAATAAGTAGTATCTGAATAACTGAGAAGCATTTCCTCGTAAACAAACGATTTGTTTCTCGGTTATTGGCCCTCATTAGGCATGCAGATCCGGCACGCATGCAAATTGGAGAATCCTGTGGCAAAATAATATATTAATGGAAAACTGTGAATAAAGAAGACTTTCTCCATACGCAAGCATCACTATTGGAAAATAAAATCACGCTAGAAAACCTTTATATGGGGTCAGAATCTGGATATGAAAACCACGTTAACACTGAATGATCACTTATCGATTTTTAACCCGCAAATCACAAACCAGGAATGCACAATGCATTAAAACGCTTACAGTCTGGATGCTCTCACCAAGTTCTTCATTTAACCAGTAAAATTAGTTCGGGAAAAACAATTAGTTGTTACAAAATAATACTTTCGAAAACACCCTAGATAAATGCATTAAACAACGAGATTTCCACAGATTTGTGGATTTTTGGATAAAACCACGCGACAAAATCTATTGTACTAATTCAGCGACTACTTTTTCCCACATGTTGAAGTTTGAGAATGTTACAACAGCGATTTAAATACTGTGAACACTGTGATACCCTCTAATATACACAGCGTTGTTGTTATTAAAATGGACATTGCTTATAGAAAACAAACCGTTCAATACGAAGGACTCAGCTAGATGAAGAGTGAAACTGTTTTTCTTTTTCCGGTGTTGCACAGATGGGAGGAACGAGATTGAGATAAGGAAGTTTTGTGATTGAAAACCACGTCGGTGAACGTTGCCTTATGCCATTGACTCTTCAGTGAGTTGCACACATTTTTGTTCTCACAAGGCTTTTCTTAGGTTATTAAGAAACGGGAATATTGATTCTGATGATTTATTTTTCATTAATCATTTATTTTGGTTTCACATTTTACTCGGGATTGAGGAACGATGAAAATTCTCCAATTGTTTTAAATGATTAGATATTTCGAAACAATTGTCAACCGATCGTACTGTACAGCAGTTTCTTTCATGTTAGAGCTGTTTCACTGTACACATTTCCATAGCTCTTCATTGATTCCAACATCGAATCTGCTAGTTAATACGTGAAACCTTTCACCATGAGTTACGTGATCGAGTTTGTGAATTTTCACCAACCAAAAAAGATCCCACTTAACTGGAGAATCCATAGAGTAAAATGATTCAACCAATGGGAAAATCTGTTTGTTCCGATAAATAAAATCCTAAAAGTCTCTTTAAAAAAGAAATCGCTAGAACTATTTGAACATATTGAAGGAAAACGCCGTTTAGCGAACAAGGTTATTTTCGGTGACTCAAAAACTGGTTAATACGTCGCATTTCATATGACATCTTTTTGTATGGGAAAGAGGAAACGAAATAAATGATTATTCAAATGGAGATTTTTGTTGTTGTTGTTTTCTGTTTCAGTTTCACAAACCGGATATGGCTGATCTTACCATCGGATCGTACGCTTGGTCCGCGTTACTTAATGTGATTTGGGGTGGGATAGGGAGGCGGAGGAGTAGGGAAGTTGGAGGGCCATGAGATCTTGAGTGACTTCATAAATTGATTTTAGGTAGACAAGGAGGAATTATGTATGCGACTTACTCAGGATATATAATTCCACTCATCATAATATCAAATTCACTTCAAAATAAGAGCTTTATGGAGGGATTGCTTAGAGCGTCGCTTAGATGGATCGATTCGTAGAAAACTGATATAAAACCGCCAGTATCTCCATTTCAGGAGTTCTGTGCCACTCAACAGAAGGATAAATCTGATTCAATTTTCGGTAAATAGGGCGATGAAAATATGCCCTGATGACGCCATAAATGTGGAACTGTCGTTCATCTGTGATGTTTTCCCTACAGAGCGGTTATTCTGCACGTTTTGTTGATAGCTTTGTACGAAATAATTGTCCAAGGGAGAGAATTTTAAAAGTAGACAAGAAGTTAGTATACATCTCTCTCGTTGAAGGAGAATGCAATCACGGAGTTGGTTAACCATAAAATAAGAGTTACGTTGAAGAATACACTCCACGCGAGAGATTTAGGTGTCATATTCACGTTCAGACCAATCCTGTGTGCTTAAATCAAAGACAACATTCCTGCTCCTGCAATCTCATTGTATATGTACCTGTTTACGTGTTCCTGTGGAACAACTTTTATCAGCCGCACGAGTAGGCGCCTATCTACAATAGTTCCGAAACATCATCCGGTTTAGCTGAACACTGGTGTAATTAAAACTAGTAGAAATGCCATCGTTTCACACCTCATCGATTTCGATCACTCGGTGAGTAAGAATGAAGCATTTTTACCTATCTACCATGTTCGGGGTCGCAAGTCTAAGCCGCTTACAAATCCCATCCTAGCCACCACCGAGGTTGTTAGAATTCGTTTACACGATCCCCCCTTGTCTACCTAAAATCAATTTATGAAGTCACTCAAGATCTCATGGCCCTCCAACTTCCCTACTCCTCCGCCTCCCTATCCCACCCCAAATCACATTAAGTAACGCGGACCAAGCGTACGATCCGATGGTAAGATCAGCCATATCCGGTTTGTGAAACTGAAACAGAAAACAACAACAACAAAAATCTCCATTTGAATAATCATTTATTTCGTTTCCTCTTTCCCATACAAAAAGATGTCATATGAAATGCGGCGTATTAACCAGTTTTTGAGTCACCGAAAATAACCTTGTTCGCTAAACGGCGTTTTCATTCATTATCTGAACGAACTTTTGTAGAGTTTTTATTGCTACATTTCAGGGAAGGCCTAAAAGATTGTGCAATAGATCAGATGTTAAATAAGATCTCGGGATGGATACTCAGTTGTTTGTTGAACGTTGGGAAATATTATAAATCAACCACTAAGTAATTATTTCAAATTTCATGGGTTATTACTTACTATTTGCTTATCAATCATAGTAGTCATAGTACACTATCTCTCTCTGTTCCTGTCAAAGTGACACGCACTAGTACCACGGCTATCCAAGTGGGGATTTATGTGGTTCTCCAATCCGAGTCCCTGGGCTCAGGAAGCCGGTAGCCACCATTTAATAGCTGCTCTACGTGACTATGAGGTTTGCCCCGTCTGGTGTTCATCACACGAAATGTGTTTTGTAAAATAATAATAATAATAATAACCACTGATCGACGATGCATGGCAGTATTTGTGTTAAGCTAATAAGAAATTCAGCGACCTTGAACTAGCCAATGAACACTGTTGATTCAGGCCTTGAGACATCACACGATCAGGTTCGATTC